ACAGCAAAAGTAGAAGCGGTTTTGGAAGCACCACGCGCAAACGACGTAGCTGAAGTAAGATCATTTCTTGGGCTAATCAACTACTACCACAGGTTCTTACCTAACCTGTCGACAACTGTCCACCCCTTGACTCAACTCTTGGGAAAGGACCACCAATGGAAGTGGACAGAGCAATGCGAGGCAGCATTCCACAAGGTGAAAGAAATAATCACTTCAGAGCAAGTTCTAACACATTATGATCCCGGTCTGCCACTTAGACTTGTGATGCACCCCCCGCAGGTATTGGAGCAGTGTTTTCTCACTTAATTAACGATGGTACCGAGCGACCTATAACTTTTGCTTCAAGGACACTGACAAAAACTGAGCAAAAGTATGCGCAGATTGACAAGGAAGCTTTTTCAATAATTTGGGGTGTCAAGAAGTTTCACATGTATATTTTTGGCCGTCCTTTCACTCTATACACAGATCATCAGCCATTAACTTCAATATTTCATCCGCGGAAGAGCATTCACGTGGTCACCGCACCACGTCTTCAACGTTATGCCTTGTTCCTGGCGGGCTATGCCTACTTCATTCAATACAAGAACACTAAATTTCACAGCAATGCAGATGGTCTTTCCCGCCTACCACTGGTATCGGAAGCCAAAGATGAGGAAGTGGTTGACCCAGTGGGTGTATTTAATTTGATGCAGTTTGACCCTTTGCCAGTCACGGTGGACAACGTTAGACGAGAGACACAAAGAGATCCTGTCTTGGCCCAAATGCATGAAATGACCAGGAAGGGATGGCCACACAACCATGAGCCTGCACTCAACCCCTATTTTGTTCGCAAAGATGAGATCACGTTACAATCAGGCTGTTTGATGTTGGGAATAAGAGCAATAGTACCCCCAAAACTACGCCCTCAAGTTCTCAAGGAACTTCATCAGGGACATATGAGAGCCGTGAAGATGAAGGCCCTGGCCCGAAGCTACACCTGGTAGCCTGGAATCGATAAAGAAATTGAACTGTCTGCTAATTCCTGCCCAGGTTGCCAACTAGTACAGAGGGAGCCCAGTACAGTGCCAGTGCACCCATAGGAATGGCCTTTGTTGCCCTGGCAACGAATTCATGTCGATTTTGCAGGTCCCTTCCTTAACAGTGTGTTTTTAGTGGTAGTGGATGCATATTCACGTTGGCTGGAGATAGAGAGAATGAACACTACGACTTCAGCGAAAACCACTGAAACCCTTCAGAAGTTGTTTGCAAGATATGGCGTACCAGCCCAGTTAGTGAGTGATAATGGGCCTCAGTTCGCATCAGAAGAGTTCCAGCAATTCCTTAAGAGAAACGGCATCAAACACATCACCTCTACACCTTATCACCCTGCCACCAACGGCCTAGCAGAACGTGCTGTCCAGAGTTTCAAGAATGCCAATGCCATAAAGAGTGAAACTCCAGTGACATCTTTGAACATTAAGTTAGCGAGATT